CAGACCCCTCCGGCCGTGGGGGAGCAGGGGCCGGGGCTGGCGACAACCCCGAGCGGAGTGGGTGGGTGCTCTGTTGAGGGAGGGGTTTCCTCTGCACATCTGCCCGGAGGGCTCTCGGCTGCATGTGCTGGTGTCGTGAAAACCACATGCGAGCCCGGCCGGCGAGGCTCAGTGGTTGAGCGTGAACCTATGAACCAGGAGGTCAGGGTTCGATTCCCGGTCAGGACACAGGCCTGTGTTGTGGGCTGGATCCCAGTGTGGGGCGTGCAGGAGGCAGCCGGTCCATGACTCTCTCTCATCACGGATGTTTCTCTCTCCCTCTCCCTTGCTTCCTCTCTGAAATCGATGAGGATATATATTTAAAAACACACATACCTGCGATTCGGTGGGACTGACCCACGGGGACAGTTACCGCTGCCGCCCTGTGTCCTGCTGCGACCTCCCCTGCTGCACCCTCGCCTGCTTTCCCTCGGTCCCCTCTTCCCTCGGGTCCTGTGTGTGCTTCCCGTGTGCTGTAGGCTCCCCGCTTTTCTGGCCCCGCAGCCCGATTTCCTCTCCCTCCTGCCTCCTCTGGGGGGTCCGCTGATGGGCAGCCCAGGGCCGTGCGGATGGAAAGGTCGCCGGGGACCCGGTGACTGTTCACAGGTCTTTGTGGTCTTGTCTGGAGGTTCAGAGAGGTTCAGGAACCTCCCCAGGGTTGCGCAGCCCAGCTCCCAGGCCAGCCCCATCTGCGCACCCCCCTCCCCCCCCGTTTTCTCTCCGGGGCCTCCAGTCCGGGCCCTGCCCCCTCTGGCCCAGTGACCTAGGCGAGTCCCCTCCCTCTGCCCGTCAGTAGCCGGTCTCCTTGGAGCATCTGTTTCACGGGGGAAAAGGGCTTTGGACCATCCGGCACCCGATCTGACGGGCTCTTCCCATGGCCCTGCCCTGGCGTCTCCATCTGACTTTTTCCCCCCAGCTCTGGGTCTGGCTCCCCAGGGACGCCCCTCCTCACCCCTCCACATTCACCGTCACTCCTTCCCAGCCTGGATCCTCTGCTTTCCCCAAACCCCAGCTCAAACCTCTCCTCCTCCAGGCAGCCTCCCCGGATTGCCCCAAACTTTCCTTTCCCAGAACTGCCCAGGACCTGGCCAGAGTCTCCTCAAAGGTCCAGAGTCTTCATTTCCTCGTCTCCTAAGAGCGAACCTCACAGCAGCCTTGCAGACACGGCTCTGAGAATGTCCCGGATCTCCCCCATCGCTGTGTGGACACCCACGCGTGTGGGCCCATGCCCTTGGCTAAGCCAGGCTGTCTGTGTTTCCCCCGTTTCCCTGCAAAGGTCCATTTTCTGGCCCAAGGTCGGACCCAGGCTCCCACCTCCCGCTCTGCCTTGGCCCTCAGTCAGTCCGCAGCTGGTGCCGGTCCCTCCGCCTTCCGTGGCTCTCCCCGTGGTTCTCCGGAGGCGGGCACTGTAGAAGGAGGGCTGGCAGGGGGCGTGTAGAATGTCCCTTCGTTGGCGTTTGTCTGATGTTTCCGGGAGGAGGCCGGCCTTGCAGATTTGGGGAAGAGTCCCAGAGACCGAGGGAGGCACCCGCCCCGCCTGAGTGCAGGAGTGGGGTCTCAGGCGTGGGCTCTCCAGGCCGTGTTCCTGGTCTGGGCTGTGGCTGTGTCTCCGTGGCCACTTGTCCACGGCCGACGTGGGCCACGGGCAGAGGGGGAGCTGCATGCGTGTGGGGGTGGTGGCAGCTCCAGGGGAGTCAGGAAGCCACCAACGCTTTGCCCCCCTTTAAGTCCCCCTTTTCTGCCGCCCAAACTCATCCCAATTGTGGGGGGCCCTTCAGGATTGGGGGAGAGGACGAGGACTTGGCAGGTGGGGCTCGCGGAGGGCAATGGGTCTGGTCTCACCGAGTTCGGGCACGGGCGCCTCGGGGCCAGCGGGGCCCCTTCAGGAGCCGGGAGACCCGAGCCCGCTGACTGACCGCCCCTCGCTGTCCTCCTCCCGCGTAGAAACCAGGCGATGCGGAAAAAGTTGATCTTGTACTTCAAGAGGAGGAACCACGCCCGGAAACAATGGGTAAGTCACCCCGCGCCCCCACTCCCATCCCGTCCCGGCCCCCA